CCAGACCAGGGCGGTCTGGGGCCGACAGAGCGGGCTCCCGAGCAGAGCTTCTGCTCTACGACCCTCGCTGCCCTCCACCTTCCACGTCCCCCGTTGTGGCCGGACGGGGTCGGTGGACAGTTGAGGTCGACTCCTTCGAGAACAAGACTGGATGATGCACTTGACCCATCGAGGCAGGATAAGACGGGGTCAAGCCTCAGGTACCGTCTCCGTACCCGTCCTCAATCTTAGGTGTCTCCCAGCAGCCCCCCCCCCCCCAAAGGACGGTCAGGAGTATGAAGGGTCCCTTTGGGCCTTGGGCGAGTCTGGGACCACCAACCCCACGAGAAATGCTAGGTTGGCTGGTGCTGTGGATGAAGAAATTGGTGGACTTGCCCTACTGGGCCGGGCAACAAGGCGGGTAAGGTACGGCTACAGCCTACGGACGGGTACGGGTACAGACACCTTGCCTGCCAATGCTAATCCGCCTGCCTGGTTTGCTCTCTCGACGCTAGAGGCTCCTTACAAGGTGGTTATTACGGAGTACCACCTGGCTCGACTCCCCAAGATGCGGATCATCTGGTCATTGTCGTCGTGTGTGCTTACTGCGGCAACATAATGGATACCCTACGCGATCCATTGGCTTAGCTGAGCTTTCAGTCTGTCAGCGGAGACATCGAGGCATCCGGCACATGGATGGTGACACTAAGAAGGGCGCGAAGTACCATGACACCCAAGTGGGAGGGAGACTGGGTGCGAGGAATCTCCGCCATGGCTGGAGCCAGGAGCAATAGGAAGCGCGATGCAGAAGTCGTACCTTAGGCAACTTGCCTCATTTGGTGGCGCCTCGGTATCTTGGAAGTTGGAACTCGACATCAATATCAAATGAGCATGGCCACTTATTATGATGACATGGGGCATTGTCGATTTTGTGCCCTTTTTGCTGTCTGGGTGCTTAGTTCCATGGTCAACCCTACCACGCTCGCGCTATCCCCTACCGCCATTTCGAACATTTCCCCCAGCCGTCTCCCGTTGCCTTTCCGCTAACAAATCCCCTCTTTGCTGCTGGCGCGCTTTTTTACATTGTGGCTGGGCCAGCCTGTTGGGAAGTCTCTGAGTTTCTTGGGACGACGTTGGACGCAAAGTACGGTCAGGCTAGCCTCTCGGCTGCAGCAAAAGAGGCAGAGAGGCATAGAGGCCATAGGGTACTTTGGCAGCTTAGGGACGACGGCGCATTCTCCTTGCTCAGTTCGTGCGAATGCACATTCACAGTATACACTCCGTGTGGAGCAATGCTGTATTTGTGACACTGCCCTGCGTGACTATGACGACGAGGCAAAGGCCCATCAGGTTGCGTCTTTGGGCAGCTGGGCTCAAGTCGTTGTGTTATACAGTGCATTCAACAATGGCTACGTACGAAAACATAGTCGTCAACCCTCTCCCGTTCCTGCGCTGAGTACGGATACAAGCTGTCCAATAAGTCAACTCGGGTTGGACAATGGGCGCGGACACAGACAGGGTATCTCGGAATTCCCCCCCTCCACTGTTGGGAGCAGGAACTTGGCCTCAAGACTTGAGGGGGGAGGGGGGCAATCAGGGAGAACTCGAGAGAGTCGAAGACGACTTTCGGGCGGCGCATTGGCCGCATGCACACCCATCCGCGGAACCCAATGCCTCTTGCCTTACGGATACCTCTCACCTTTACTTCCGACAAGAGGTCAGGTACCTTACATGCCTCGTGCTGGTCCCTTGCACAGATGCACTCAATCACCCACAACAGCTCGCCGCATTCTGACTCGGTTTTTGCCTGTCAATGGATGGCCCTGGCGATTGAGAGTTGAGACTGAAGTCGCCGACGACACATCGGCTACCGCCGCCGCTCTGATGTATGTTCCATCTCATCGACGATGAAGTACGGATAGACCGAACTGCCTCGACTCTCTTTTCCTGCTTGACGACGGACATTGGCACAGATCATGCGTATGTTGCGGACTTTGGGCGGACCTGGACCCCTATCGTTCCTTGGAGGCCCAACCCTCTTCCTCCTTCTGAAGCATTTGGTGCCTTGATACACGCCTAGAACGTCTGGTCTTGGCCCTGCCCTACACCAGTCGATTGTCTCTAGCTCGAACACGCTCGCACTGCCCTACGACGTCAAGGAGAGGAAGCATGCTCGACACCCATAAAACGGTACACTACTGAGTGATGAGTGCGAGAGAGGGTTGTTTTGGAAATGGTGGTTCATTTTTATCAGCACTTCCTTGTCTGTGTCATGCCTCGAACCTCGCCCCCCGCCTTCCCCGTCCGACCCAAGAAAAGAAACAGGAGACATTCTACCCGTCTCTTGTTCTTCTGCCCGTTATTTGCTGTCTGTGTGTCAGCCCAGTCTCCTCATTTTTTGTTATTTTTATTTTTTTAATATTTTTCATGTTTTTGCCTCGGTCACCCCTTTTGGCCACAGTCGTCGTCCTCGTCGTCTACCTCAGGTATCCGTATTGACCAAGACCAAACAAAGACGGACTAAGAATACTACGGAGTACTTACTTTTGTACTCCGTAGAAAGTACGGATACGGACGGAGAACCTCGGATTTAGAAAGAGAGAGAGAGAGAGAGGGAGAGAGAGAGAGAAGGAGGGGGAAACGACTGGGCTGCGCGCACTAAGGCGGTGTTAACCCATGCCGGGTGGGAAGTATACTACCACGATTCTTTGGCTTGCATAGGAAACCAATTCTTCTTTGTCGACGCCATTTCCCGGGTCCTGGTAAGCCTGGATCCAATTTCACACGGCCAGCATCAAAGAAGCCATCGAATACCAACCCGGCAAACGAGAATAGAAGGCAACAGCCGTCAATCAAGTATCCGTAGACTGTATGCAGGTATTTCGTACCTGCGTACGTATTCGTACCTACTGGCCATGAGTCCCGAGTTCCGTAGAGAGTTGAAGGTTCGCATGCCCTGGCCAATCCTTCATCTCACTGCCAGATTCGGCCTCCGACAGGGCATTTTACCTCTGGACTTGCAACGCTGCCCTGCACGCTGGGCCCCCGCCAAATCTGCGTCGTCGCCAGCCTGCCCTGTCTGGTCTCAAGGTACGGATATTCGTACAGAAAGCAGAGGACTACACAGATACTGCGTAGGTATTGTGTATACTTACTCTGGGAGGTGAAGTACGGATACCGCATCCAGTCCAGCCGTCTCTCGAAGCTGCAATGCACCGGGATGGCAATGGACATGCTGCTGCACTCTGAGAGGCGAGCTTGCCAGAGGAATAAAGAGGAGCCCATCTTCTTCTACCTTAGTAAGTAGGTAAGGTAATTGGGACTCTGGGAGAGAGCAAGAAAGATGAGATGCGTCAGGGAGGCAAGAAGCCAGAGACAGAGGAGGGTGGAGAGACGGGCAAGGTACGTGTTCCTGCTGCTGCTGATGGTGTGCCACACTTGTACCTCTCATGTCTCCTCAGTCTCAATGGCGCTGGTGCGATTGCTGGCGCAGCTAGGGACGTACCTTATTGCTGAGATTGTGCTGGTGCTGCCCTGCCCTGCCCGGCTTTCACTACCTGACCTTAGGTGAGTTACAAAGTACTATTGTAAGGTACCTACCTGGTGGAGTGATCCCAGGCCTCGATGCTGAGCTCTTCCTGCTCGTCTGCTGCTGCCGCTCACGCCGTCGCCGCAATGCGCAACTTCGACCTCCCACCCTTGGCTCACGCCCTCCTCCACATCCGCATAGGAACACATTTACACACCCATGCCACACCTCTCACACTCTCTCTTTCTCTTCGTCTCTCTCAAACTCACACTCTCTCTTCCCATCATCCACTCCACAATTCACACCCAGTCCCAAATTCCCAAGTCAAGTCTTCCCTCTCCAACATCCTTTGACGACGCTACCTCACAACCACACTGCAACTACGGAGTACGGATACCTTACCTTCACGCAACCCTGTCCGCCTCCTGCGACCCTGGACACACACACACGCATACGCGCACACACACCTCTTCTCTCGCTCTCCTTCGCTGCCGCTCCTCTTCTCCTCATCCTCACCTCCTCACAGCACTGTCCACCACTGTCTAGCCTACCCTGCCATACTAGGCAGTCCTGGATCCTGGCCCCCCTCCCCCCATCGACTCCTGGTCGCATCCATCATCGAACATCGGTTTCCTCTGGGCCCCAGCAGCTCAGTGATATGACCCTGCCTGTGTGTACCCAGCCCAGATCTTGTTCCTTACCCCGGTCGCCTCCCCGTCTAGGTCTACCCACGTCAACCCTTCACGCCTCACGCCGGGACCTGTCGTCCATTCATAATAAGGCTTGACCTTCTCCCGCGTACCCCCCTCACCATCACCCACCAATCCGGACAATTCCTAGCCCAGCGCGCTCCCAGAGAGAAATTCGAGACACAACTCCCCTCTGGTGCTTTCTTTTCCTACAACTTCCTCTTTTCCAACAGGTCTTTGGCACAAAGACACGTCTGTCTAGTCACCGACATCTCCAGCACTGAAGGACTCACTCAAAGTGAGAGTGAGAGCGAGCGAGCGAGCGAGAGAGAGAAAGCCGCCGAGTGCGCGGCCAGGTCGGGACGGTCGTCGCCAGCTACGCATACCCAGAACTCAAGCAACGGGCTTGAATGTAACCGCTTCTTTGACTCCGCTCTCCGTTCGAGGCTACTTCCACGACACTCACCGCTACCAACAAATCGACACGTCACGTCCGAATTCACAATGTCAAACGATCCCTCCGTGAGGCGCATCTTGCCTCAGAGCTCCCAGATGGGTAGCTTCTCTTTCGCGCCGCAGCAGTTCCCTCAACGGGAAACCCAAAAGAGTGCGCCATCCATCTTCACCTCTACCGCCCTCTGCTCCGGCCTGCCCGCAACGTCTCGTCTAACCAAATGTGCCTTTCTGTAGATTATGTCTTCGTGGATGAACACAATCGTCATAAACGATTGAAGGGTATGCTCACCTTCCCTTGGACAAACGAATCCATGTGTGCAGTCTAGCTAAACTGATGAAATCAAGTGATGAGAGCTTGTGAAGGATGCAGAAGAAGAAAGATCAAGTGCGACGCGGCCACAACGAACACCTGGCCCTGCTCGGCGTGTATCAGACTCAAGCTCCATTGTGTGCGCCCCAATGGTCAGTACGATGGCACCTCGACCGACGCCTATGAGCCTGTTGGGGATGAGTTCGCTGCCGCCTCATCGCAACTGCAGAACAGCTTTCGCCAGCAAGTTCCCATGCAGCAACAGTCCATGATGGCCGGGGGCCAGAAGCCCAACCCTTCGATGTATGCTGCACAGGGCGCATATTCGGATCCCAACGTCTTTCCACCTGTCCACTACTCCGACCAGCAGGTCCATCAACATAACATGCACTACACTACAGTTTCTCCCTCGTCGTCCATGATGGAACAGCCTTACACCGGTCAGAATGTGTTCCCAACACCGCCTCTTCAGCAGAGTCAACGTCCAGATTCTCCTCCCGACACTTACTCCAATGACGGCTCGTACCAGCAATCAGACCTTGCTGATCTTCTGGGCTCCCTGAAGGTCAACGAAGCTGGAACAGGTAAACCCGCTTTCGCAGCCTCCTTTACGTAGTAGAGTTACTGACGCGGAATGCAGCACCGTATCTGAGGAACAAGGCCTCTTTTCTGCATGATGAGGAGCCTGCCCTTGAGGACGAGGAGTATAAGACCCCTCTTCCGCCAATCATCACCGGACCGGGCCTCAAGATTCGCATTCCGCCTGAACTGATGCCGGATGACGAGACGGTCATGCACTACTTCGATCTCTTCTTCAGCCACGTGCATCCCTACGTACCTGTTCTCAGCAAAAGCGTCTTCTATCACCAGTGGAATACGAACAGAGAATCCGTATCGCCTCTCATTCTCGAAGCTCTTTTCGCCATGGGTGGAAGACTGGCCGACGACCCTGCTCAAGGGCAGCAGTGGCTCGCTTTAGCAACAAGTATGGAAGAAATTATCTGTTAGATAAGCATAGGCTGACAATCATGACAGAGCACGCCGACTCTTTCATGGACGTACCGAGGCTGAGCACTCTGCAGGCCCTGCTCCTCATCTTGAAAGCTCGGGAGGCAGCTCCCAAGCGTGGTTACTACTACCGTTCGTGGATGACGATTGTCCAGTGTGTTCAAATGGGCAAGGATCTCGGTCTGGACGAGCACTACACAGATCATCAAGCGGGGAGGCCATGTGGCTCTTCTCCCTTGGATTGCCAGATGAAGAGTCGAATCTGGCAGTCTATCTTTGTGTGTGAAACCATGATTGGTTCTCCTCAAGGTTGGCACTTGGTCTTTCTCGACTTTTTGTAGAATCTGCTAACTCCCTTAGGCCGGACTGATCTCGCCGTGGAGCTGGATTCCATCGATTTCAGCGTCCCACGTCCAATTCCCGGAGGCGACGACTCTGAGTACCACATCACCCGCAACTTCACCTATTTCGCACGGATTGTCCGCAACGTCAGCCGCATGAACACGGCCTATGGCCACCTCAAGAAGAAGAAGACTAAGGATTGGGGAGTCGATCCCGAATTTGTGCAGCTCAACCCGGCCTTGAATGCCTGGTTGAACGACCTTCCCGCAGATTTGTCGGTTACTTTCCCGCCCGATGGCTCGCCACCATGGCTTTCCTCACCTTACATCGGCAACTTGCATTCCTACTACTATCTTACCCTGATTCTGCTTCACCGGCCACAGCTGAATTTCCTGGACCCGAACGCGCAAGATGGGCAATGGAAGCAGCACATGATGATCTGCTATTCTTCTGCCAAGGCTCTATGCCGGCTCCAGGAGGCGGTTTTGAATTCGTTCGGATTTCCTGGACTGCAGTGTATGCTTCGTGGGTTCAGCTTCACTGTCTACTGTGGACTGTGTTGCATTGTACTCCATCTGGTGGGTTATGATCTGCGATTCCCTGTGACTAGCTCTCTAACTTTAATGATACACAGGTGGCCGTCGTCTCTCCAGACCCTGATCTGAACACTGATGCGAGAGAGTTTTTCACGAGACACATGCGGGTACTCGAAAGGGTCATGTCGGTTTGGCCGATGGCCGACCTGCAGAAGCAAGTCGACGCGGTGCGCGAAGCGTTTTCTGCTGACGTCAGGAAACCCTTTGTCCTTAAGCCCAGCTTCCCTTACGGCAGCCCCCAATCATCCAACCATTCCAGTCCTCCTAGGGGTTACAGGCCGGGTATGGCACGCACTGCTTCCTTGGACCACCAGTTGGACACGCAGAACCTTCAACACTCCCAAGTCAGTTATACCAGCCACCCCATTACACCTCCTATTTCTGCCGGACCTGTGGATACCAAGAGTGACTCGCCTGCTATACAGTCACTCGTCATGATGGCAAGTCAAGGTTCCCAAGCGCCGGGAATGCAGCAAACCATGTCGTTGTCGGATGCGCCAGCGTGGAATCCCGCACGTATTTTTGAGTAAGTTGCTGTCGACAATCACCCATCTCTAAAGGAGGCATTTGCTAATACATGTCTACAGACAGTGGAACACGTCTTTCGGTACGCCTCAGGTCCAACCACAGCCTTCGACGCTGCCTCCCCAGTCCAATTCGCTTAGTGTTTCTCCGTCTTCAGGTGCACCCGAAGCCCCGTCTCTCCAAGACATTCAGGCTGTCAATGCTACTCTCCCAGTGGCCTCTCAACAGTTGGCGCAGCAATACTCTGCAGCCCCCGTGCAGACTTTTGTCTCGCCGGCGATGTGGCAGGAGTCCGTGGCCAGTGTCTACGAAGGCGGTCTCAAGCGGGCCTGGGATTACGATGGCAGTGGTCCTATGATGAAACGGCGATGAGCCGTTTCCAAATTGATTTTTTTTCAAAGCTACCTAACCTTGTTGTCGGCAACATCTACGGGATGTTTTACACCTTTGGTATAGCGACGACGATTTACCGGTTCATAACAACACTCGCCAGCCTGCGGGGTGCCTCCACGAAACGCCTTTGGACCGACGAACAGGTGCCCCCTCAGCTACAGCGATTCACGTACATATCTTGGAATTTCGCTTTATACGGTCCTTGTCCGCCTTATACACGGTTTATTCTCGCGACGAAATACATGTACACGATTACGATGAAAATGAGGAGGAGGGGAACTCAACGGAAGATCCATGTCGGGCGCCGGCGTCACTCATGCCCCTTCGGAAGCATGGCCCCCAACCGGGAATGGGGCTCCCAAGAGGCTTTTGTTTTTTCGGGACGGTGCGAAGAAAGAGAGAGGGGGAAGATTGGCGAAGCGGTATCCTGGTCTGTATTTCTGGACTGTATTACTACATTTGGCATGTTGCTTCATGACGGGGCCAACAACGCGGCCCAATTCGGCTCGGCGTACGGACGGTGCTCACCTCGGCATCGCGAACGAGGAGTCTTATTTGCTTACTATCACATCCATGGAAAGGCCCAAAAAGTAAATGTAAGAGGAGAGAGAGAGAGAGAAGAGTTTTGTTGCTTCCATTGACTTGGACCGATCAATACGGACATGATACCACCCTGCGCACGCATACAAATTCAGACCACCTAGCAATGTGAAGTGAAGAAGACGCCGGCAAAACGAGAGGCAACCCGCGGAAACGGGCATTGGCTGTCTCTTTTGCTTGGCAAGCAAGTAAGACGTTTGGAGGGGGTGAGAAGGGAAGTCGACAATGGGTAGATCTGGGTGTGGCGTGTGTATGTGAGGTGCCCGAGGCGAGAGCTCCTACCGGGAAGTCCCCAAAGCGGTCGCAAAGTCTCGCGATTGAACGAGTTGATTGGCCACGGCATCTGATCTTGACATGTTCACAGGGTTCATTCAGCCGCACGTTGAGAAGACCTCCCCCCAAACACACTTTGCATAAACAGATGGTCTCAACTTCCTTCGAGCGCGGACGGGTCTTGACATGCACGAGCAGAGGCAAAAAAAACAAGATGTTTTCCCCGTATGTGGGTACGCAACACTCGTTCACCCACACACCACACACGCCACACACCCGTAGGTTGTCAGAGGGCGAATGAAAAGGGAACCCCCACTGGAAAACAACGTTGAGCCTTGACGGGGCAAACGGGCTGGCCGACAGGTTGAAGGTGAGGTTAAGGTAGGTATGTCTCGGCGGTCGGCAAAAGCGTTTCTTTTTCTTTTGGGGCAGCACGGCGGGTGGTATACCTACTTACGTGATGCGTCTGACTTCGCTTATACAGCAACGGTACTTGCGACTACGCGTTTTATCTCACACGAAAACATTTACATATCGCCGTCGGCTATTCCGCCCCCCCCCCCCCTAGAGAATACCGCACCGCAGACGGAGCCTGGAGATTAAGAGAGAGCAACGGCGCGGAAGCCGGGAGTCGGATGTCGGGGTATTTGTTCGGAAAGCTGAGTATGTACGGAGTAGATTCGAGTCCTCGTTGATCGGCGAGAGAAAGTGTGGGGAGCAGTGACATTCAATGGGGGACCCTTGAGCCAGGGCCCAAAGGAAGGGAGTCGAGGGCATCGGTTAGAAACTTCAATGGGGTGAGACGGTTCAGTCACAAGCTTACATCGCCGCTGACGAAAACCGCATAATTTAGCTTCTTCTCGTCGTCTTCTGCTTCTGCTGCTGCTGCTTCGCTTCGCTTCACACGATGACGACGATTGCCGCTGTGGTTTGCCGTTGGTAGGATTGGGCGATTGCCGGAGTACGTAAGGTAGGCGGCGGGGGGCCGGGGGTTTCCCTTCCACGCAGGCGCAAAGGTTAAAATTAACACGAAAAGTGATGGGCAGGGTCGAGAACAGTCCACGTTCGTCACTCATTTGAATGACGGGGGACAGGGAATGAGGACGGTGAGTTCGCAAAGTTTGGAGAGTCTTTGGAGAGAGAGAGAGAGACATCGCGTGGGTACGTGTACCAGATCGGCGAAAAGCTGCACCGCGCTGGCATGGGTAGGTAGTGTATCTGTGCCTTGTGTTTCGCAGCTGGGACCAGGTTGGTTCGGGTCGGGTTCGAAGATTCTCCAAAGTGAAGTGTTCAGCGGCGGGAATGAAGAGGGTTGTTCAGAGATGTTGGAGATTTGTCCTTACTATACCGCAATTCCTACATCAAGTATGCAGGACGGAGTGTGGGGAGTGTGGGAGTGTGTCTTACACAGTACAGCGGCCTTTTAGCTGGGCCTGAGTGACGTTGTTTCGTTGGGGAGATCGCCATTAGAGTTTGGCATTGGCACGCTTTCTGACATTTGCGACGATGGTCGCCTACGAATACCTAGTGTACCAAAACCCGTACCGGTACTCTCTCTCTCTCTCTCTCTCTCTTTGGCCGCGCAACGGCCAAACCGGGTTCCTGTATCGCCGATGTAGGTGTGAAATGCGTGGGAAAGTTGACGCAAGAATATGCGTGGCTTGCAGGATGAGGGGTTTGAATCTCTGAAAGAGGGGTGTGCAAACCGCAAAGGACTGGATGAAGAGAGGGAGGGAGGGATGGGAGGAGGAAGGAATATTCCAGGATGTCTATCTCACATGCATACCATCTGTGTGATCTAGGGGCATGCAGGTCCAACAGACTCGAATCTTACTTCCATTTTCATCGCATCTTTTTTATTTTATTATATATCTAGTCTGGGAAGGATCTCACAATCCACGGGTTGCCCCGCTTCTGTTATCCTTTTTCGTCCTATGTTTTGGACGGCCTTCTTCATACTTTCTTGTTCTTCCCTGTTGGGATTGAACAGTGTTAGGTAGGTTTTTTCGGCGTGGCCGACGGTCAAGTTTGGTGATGTCGTTTTGGAATGCATACACTGCATCTCGACGTGCATCTTGTTGTTTCGGACTTTGAGAAAGTGATGTTGCCCCCTCCCCTTCCCCCTCCTTCCTTCCCTCCCTCGTGGACTTTGCGAAACATGACACAAGCATAATGGTAGGTTACTCTAGGGTAAGGTAAAGTTCCTAGACACAATCTCATCTCTACTATTGAGTCCCGATTTGCTCTTACGGGTAGATTCGAGACTTACCCGGGCGTTGACATCCTGGTCTCCGAGTAAACAACTACTTGCATCGGGATGATGGTGTGATCATTATGCGCTGCACGCATTCAACCTTTTGAATTCCATCATGTTTTCTTTTGCGGGATGGTACCGGATGCCGCTGCCGGGTACCGGGTTTAAAGGGTGAAGGAAAGGTTGCTACCTATTTCTCACAGGTAAAAGTACACGGTGAGGCAGCGACAATGAGGCATCGGCAATTCCAGAGATATGGGTAGTTTGTTGGTTTCCGGGGGGGGGGGGGGGAGGGTTGAACGTACTGGCTACCTTCCATCCCACTGGCACCAATGTAGAAGAGGGGGAAGGTGTGTGAGATCCTGTACGATGGGATGACTTCGGAGTTTAGTTGTAGGTATATTTCGGGGTTTTACTCGGCGCCCGGATGTAAATGGGTGTGGTGAGGTACAGGGACGGAGGCCGTATTGCGGCGGCGGGTGACGGCGACGGCAACGGACGGACGGAGGTGGCCGAAGAAGAGGAAGAAGAAGGACGGGGGGAGGGGGGGGGGGGGGAAACACGGCCAACCAACGTATCGTAGAAATGGTGGTGTATGGACGGATTCCTCGCCGTGAGTTTCTTAGTGGTGGTGGTAGTGACGGCTGGAAATGGGGCTTTGGGGCTGAACTGTGGCCCCGGCAGACGCAGAGTCAGCTCGTTTTCGTTATTAGCCTTGCCGGTTTGTGAGTGTGTTGGTTCTAGACTCTTTCAAAGCACGGTTATGGTTACATTTGTTCCTCATGTTTCTTGACAACCAATAATCCACCTCTTGACACTCTACATGAGAGAGGCCCCTAGTTTGGGACCCAGTTGGAAGGGGATAAGAAGGGCGTTGGAAGAGGAGGGCACTTGGACATCCCGAGGTTGTCAGCGGCGAAAAACGGGGGCTTCACAGGCGATGCGGATGGCGATTGCCTCCCGGAACATGGTTTAACCTAGGTAGAGCATCCTTTTTTTTTGGTCCGCCTCTTATATGGGCAAGTACGAACACCCTCCACGACGTGATGGATATGCTAAGATGATTCGATCCCACCGTTTCCGTTGGACGTGGTCCAAAATAGCTCCTCCTGGGACTTGACTTTCTTGACTCGACGCGCAGTTATTGGGCCGTGGCGAAATCTGAATGACTAGTGGCAGTGCGTCTGCGCCAGGAAAGGGGTGAGGTATCACCTGTCACTTTTTTTATCATTTGGTAGTATACAAGTCTATGTTCGTTTGTCTCTCGACATCAATATCAAACGTGATGGTTTACCGCGCGCTCGTGATGAATGCCGGAGTTCCCGCGTAGGCTTTCAATCATCCACGCCCTCACCCTCAGGAACACACCACCCTCTTCTACATAGATAATCTGACAACGCAGAGAGCGCGTGTACACTACTGGCATGACGTGCGTACGCACACTTTCGCCTTCTCTTGACCCTGCTTGAATCGTACAATGCTACCGTCTCCCGGACCGGCATTTCTCTCTCCTTGACTCGAGAGTCTCGAATACATGGTAGGACGCGCTTGGCAAAGTGACCGACCCTTTGCCCTGTTCACTTGCGCTTACCCAGCGACTCGCGCACAATATTCCACACCCACCCATCCTTGACGCCGTGACTGGCGCCCTTGCCGCCACTGCTGCTGCTGCTGCTGCTGCTACCATTGCCACTCGTCCTGGCGCCCGCCTCAACGCCGGTGTTGATACCAAACTGGCCGACGGGACGGTAATGATACCATCTCCGCTTCGCCATCAGCGCCGAGACGTCCTTGGTGTGCGTGACGATGCCGAGGCGCGTGGCCAGCGGGCCGCTGTCCGCGGCCAGGGGGC